GAGAGAGAGAGAGAGAGAGAGAGAGAGAGAGAGAGAGAGAGAGAGAGAGAGAGAGGAAAGTAAAGAATGTTTAAACCTATTTAGCATATATAGAAAGAAAAGCATGTGAGCTGTTAGTCTTGTTGATGTGGTAAGGGTGAAACAGGAGCAGGATGTCGCCTGAGATCTTTAAATAAAAAAAGGAAAAGTCACACACGAGGAGCTGACAGTGAGTCTTCTATGGCTGGACGACATCTTGTGGTTATTTCCAATATTGCACACATGCATTTAACATAATAGTTAAATAGCCCACTGTGTGCCAGGAAAGTAAACTTTATCATTTTATCATTTTCACAAAGGGAAATTGCTAAGTGATACTTTGTAGATTATAATTGGGTTGCCAGGTTTTGAAAAATATTTCATGTTGGTGTTTATCTTTTCCTCCTCGACTTTTTGTCTTTTTGGCTGAGCAAGTAAAACAGTTAGTAAAGACAAAACCGCAGGGAGAAACTAAAATTAAAATGTATAATGTATTACCCTTTAAGATGACATATTAATATTTATACCTGCAGACGTGATGACTTATTGAAAAGTGAGAAGCTGATGAGCATTAATGACACTAATCACCAAGGGATTGTTCACAACCTGGCAACCAAAATTGTCCCCATATCAATGGCTTATAGGCCTAAGTGATCAAAAAAGCATAGATGATTTATCAACCAATAAAGACATTACAAGCCCCTTTATGAATTGTGGCCGTTTGAGAAAGTGGTAAAGAGAATGAAGTATCTTATCTTGCAGCTTTCCAGGTGTTCACTGCACCTGGGTAAAGAGGTGTGGGAATCGTTTTGTCTCTCCTAAAGTAAAGGGTGATGGTTGCATGAGCCTCAGAGTATGCGACAGTCGACTACGACCACATCACAAACTGCAGCCTCAAAAATGGATCAATGAAATAAATTATGGTATAGCGTTATTGTGTTTTATTCCATATTGTTTTTCTTATTATATCTATTTCATGTTTGAACACTGCAATTTAACATTTCCGATTATATTCCTTTCTTTTAAAAATCACCATTATCACCATCAGCATAATCTTTCTCTCAGAACAGCTTTGGGTTTGCACAGACCAGCTCCTCAACAACTCACAAACCACACTGTACCAATGACCAGAGGTTAATGGGGTGCTTGGCCTTTCTGGTTTGAAATTCCTCATTCAGCAGATTAAACAAATATCAATGATGGCCTTAATTGGTGTACACTGTCTTCAACTAAAAACACAGCTGCTGTTTTTCAGCTGATACTGGAGCTCTCTTTACAACTTAATGGAGGCCCTGCAACATATCCCTGACTCCCTGATAATAAACTAGTAGCGAAGACTATTGTACAAATATAAACATGAAAATGCACTCTATTTTCTAATGCTTCACAGTCAGGTGTGGAAGAATTACTCAAATCCTTAACTAAACGAAACAGTACAAATATGTAAACAAATGGAATTACAAGTCTTCACATTCTGAACCCTTAAGTTAAGGTACTGATGTATTATGAGCAAAATATCATGAGTAAAGGTTCTCATCATATAGAAATTGGCTCCTCAGTGTTAAATTATTACATGACCCGAGACACTTTTAGATTGAAGAAACTCCTGTGTAACCAGACTTTCACTGTTGTAGATGGTAAGATGGAGCTTATTTTTACTTATTCATATACATAGTGTAGTCCAGTAGGCAGCCAAACAAGGAACTTTCTTGTGTTTGTTTTTGTAAAATATAGGTTAATTTTCTCAACTGCAAAGAGACAACTAGACACTACTTTTTTGGGAACAACTGGTTTTACACAGTGCGTAAAAGCTCATACTATGTTTTATGTAAAAGCTGTAAAAGCTGTTAGATAAATGTAGCAAAGTAAACAAGTAGGCCTACAGTTTTAATCTGAAATGTAGTGGAGTAGGCCTCGAGGTATGAAGTAGCATGACATGGAAACACTGAAGTAAAGTGCCTTGGGCAGTAAATGCAGGGTACTTAAATACCTACACTTCCGTCAGATAGCACTGATCTTTAGAAACAGTTAAGTGTGGTAAAACCTTTTAAAACTGCCCTTTTGCTCCACCCATCGCTGTGTGGGTCTGGTCCATTACTCTGACACAGAGTGAGACATCTCAACATGGTGATCCTCTGACTTCTGCAGCGCCACTAACAAGTCAAAACTGCACTTTAACCATTTTTATTAAAGGTAGGTTGTAGCAATGAAATTAAAATGTCAAAACACTGCAGTGTGAATGTGCTTCATCTTTAATATTGGAGCCAGTTACGATATAGGGCTACGTCTAAAAGTAATGGGCTAGCTGTACAAACTAACATGTAGTAGGGTTTAGCGGTTAATGTTAGACGACTTGTACAATCTAGCTTCTTAGCCGATTTGTACATTTAAAATGACTGCGTTATGCGTAACTTATTTTAAAGAGGGAATGTTGTATTTGTCTTCATTCAAACAACATGACACAACTCTAACTAAGCTAATGCTAGTGCATTGAAGGTACTGCACATGTAACTAATTAGTAACTTGTCTTAAAAAGTAGAATGTGTGTTAAATCAACGACTGATAAGATATCACGCAAAGTCCAATAACTCACTTTAAGCTCTCTCTCTCTCTCTCTCTCTCTCTCTCTCTCTCTCTCTCTCTCTCTCTCTCTCTCGCTCTCTTATCTTTATCAATAGATGTAAGTACAGATTGGGATAATCTTACTGGTCCTTTGGTGCACATTATTTCACAATTCAGTGGTTATTTTGGTCGTCAAGTCAGTTGAGGTGTTTGTTTTCAATGTAATAGCAGTTTTCCATACAGGTAATGTTAACGTTACATAAGGGAAATGAAAGGAGAGTCCCGTATTATGATAAGGTACCCATAGATAAACGCTAGTAAATGATCTTACATATTAGACTGGATAAAGTGTAAAACAGTGATAGACCTGAAGTACATGTTTAGTCCACTAGGGGGGCTCGAGTGCAACTAAACAGGCACAGCTGAGTGTCAATAGTTAATCCTATTTATGTATTGTATCCTGATCATAACACATTATGCTCAACCATTGGCTTTAAATTAAAGCACCACCACTATAATCCAGTACTGATGTTGTTATTGTTCTCCAATTTAAACAGTTACAGCAAATATTTAGCGTTTGGACTGGACAAGACATTTGACGACATCACCTTGGACTCCGTGGAACTGGGATGGCCAGTCTTTCAGTATTTTCTGATGTTTCAGAAACTTAAACGGTGAATCAATCATTTAAAAAATAATCAGCGGATTATTCGATGGTGAAAATAATCGTTAGTAGCAGACCTAATTGCAATAGTCTACAAATAAATCCGATTACAGAGAAGAAGTTAAACATTTATCATACATTACATCATATATGTGACACTGGACAGCAATTGCCAAATATATATGCCAGATGCTTTCAGCACCCATGTGTAAGAAGCCAGCAATACCATTTGATTACAATGCGTCTATTTATAACCGGGTGTATACGGCACGGCAGAGACAAGCACCCAGGTGTCCCAAGTCAACAATGCTATGCACTGTAGGCTCTGTATATTTTTCTTAAACCTAACCAAGCTTGTTGCTCAAACCTAACCTATTCTCACCCGGGTGCAAATAGACAGTCCAAATGTGAATATATAGCTTATACATATATATTTTTAAATTTTGATTCAAAGTGCACGTTTTGTCCACAAGGGAGAGATCGAGTGCAAACTACCGCTGCTTTGTTGCAGCTGAGTGCTCGAGGTCCCCCTTGTTTATTTATCATATCAGATTCACGTGTCGAACCATAAACATAAAACAATTCACAGAATTGTATTACATTGTTTTTGTCATTATATAAACTAAGCCTGCTTCTCAGAAACAGCTGCCATGTGGTCACTGTGGTCAAAATGGTTTAGTCTTTTGTTTCATCATATATTTTGTGTACATAAGTGCAACCAATAACAGAAGAACGATTTGTGCCGCCATAGTCCGATCATTTATCCGGTTTATTGTTAGAAACATTATCAGTACCCTAATATTACAGAACATTTCAGTTTTTATGGTCATCATGCATATCACATCCTTATTTATTCGTATGATGTATTATTACTATTGTTAGTATTATTGTAATTTCTACCTTTGTGTGTAGAAATAGTGGGCTACTAGTTGTACCTGTTTCATTGACGTGCAGAAATCATGCAATTTGTGCAGGTTTCTCATGCGTTTTGGAGCGAAGCAGTCAGCAGTCGGCTCTTTTGTTCCGAGAGCAGATTCAGCGTGTGTGTGTGTGTGTGTGTGTGAGAGAGAGGGAGAGAGAGAGAGAGAGAGAGGCTGTTTTTGGGTGAGGAGGAGAGAGAGAGCGGGATGCTGACATATTCCTGATAGATGGCTAAAATGGCGAAAGCGTGTTCGACCCCAGCGAGCCACCAAACTGTAGCACTGTAGGTCGGAACATGTAGTAGCTGAAGCTGGATATCAGTGTGTGTGTTTTTTTACACTCCCGTCTTTTCACCTGCACGTTGTCTTCTGCAAGTGCTGGAATATTTTCTAGAAGTGTTCAAATGGCATCCACAAGGCGCCGCCGCCTTGTTCCGTGCTTTTGGGGAATACTCCTAAATGCTTTAATCGGTAAGTGGCATTATCTCATTACCGGAGTGGAGAGTATCACGCTGCAGGGTAGCGTTGTGCAGGATAACCGCTGTTAGGGTGCTGCTCTCAGGACCCAGCTGCATGCTTCAAGAAGCGATACTCGCTGCTGACCAGTAACCCTGAACTTGGCCCTTCTCTGTAAATGCCAATGTGGACTGAAGACTGGTACCGGAGTCGTGTGCACTGCGGAATATGTTACTGAGTTACAGGCGGACACTTGGTAGTGTATTGAAAGTTAAATTTGGTGTGCATCCTGCAGAACTTTAAATGTTATAGCAGGCTATTGGTGTTGTTTCACCATCACTTCATATGCGCAATAAATCAAGTCTAGGTGGCTTATGAGCACCATAATAATACATGGTAGTCACGTGCAACGCAGTCAGTAGAGTTTTTAGCTCGTTATCAATGTTGATGGGAGCACGTTTAGAAGAATGTAAAGAATCGTCTGCTGAAAGGTGTCCAGTTGGTGCATTGAGAAAGTCACATTTTTTGCGATACAAGAGCTGCGAACTCTGCAGAAAGTGCTTCTTTTTCTGCTGTAGTTGTCCCCATGACTGTCTTTTAATCAGGTGTCCCAGTATGTAACGACATGGCTGCAGAGTTGGAGCCACTTTAAGTGTTATTGTTTATCACATGGTCTCAATATTACAAATGCAGCACTATTACATGAAGCACATATAAGCTCTATTACAAATGCTTTAATGAAACTTAAATGAACCAGATATTATTGTAGTTTTATGCTTATTGGCTTTTGAGTGGCAATTTACTATTTATAATTAACTCTTCAAAATAACTTTTAAAAATGATGTACTTTAAGATGTATGGAGTTTTTTTCATCTCAGTGGACTTTTGGACTGATGACGCTCTTGATTGGTGAGTCCTTACAGCACACCACCCTGTGGCTGGTTGAAATGACAGCGGTTATTTCTCTGAGGATAGATTGTGATTGACTGTGGTTATTGCCTGCTGGGGAGAATATTTGTACAGATTAAATGTCAAGACTGTCCCTCTCCTCCTTTTCAAATTTAATTTTTTGGTCCCTTTGTTCACTATGACAGACAGTTTCTCTCTCTTTGTGAGGCCCCTTATTAATTCAAAGGCAGGATAGACTATTGAGTATTTGCAAAGCATACCACACAGGGACCCACAATGGCCTCGACTAAAATCATAAAGGCCAGTATACAGTGGTTCATAATATGTTCAGTCAGGGGACTGGGAACAAAAACTTCAGAAAACACAGCTCTGTGATGGATGTGGTTCCAATCTAACCATCTCATTAAAGAAATTAAGCTCTTTTTGAGTCTACCTCAGAGATTAGATTCAGTTAAGATGAAGGCACTTTTTATGACATTTCAAGCAGAGTTGATAATAAGTAATAAGAGGGATATTTGCATTAGATCTCTCATGGCACGAAGAGCTGAAACTCTTACGCAAAATGCAAGCATTCGGAATATCTCATGATATTAAAATTTGAGTGTATCAAAAGGCAAGTGTGCTTGTTTCAAACGGACTGACTGAGATAGCTTGTGTCTTTCAAGCTTCAGGAAAAAAGACCATATCAATGTTAAATCAAGACTTGCAAGAGATAAACACTCAGAACTTTCATAATCTGTTTATGTTCCTGCTCATTGAAGTATTTAGAAACTCATTCATTATAATCCAAAGCTTGCAGTATAGTTTATTTGCCTATAGAAAGATACTGCAGATGAGTACTGTGAGACAAGATTGTACAGGACATTGAGAGGTGAATTGCGCAACAGCTGCACTACATCTACTACCATGCCAACACATGGACTATTTCTCAGCATTTTTACTACCTATGACTGTCATTTCTGTCCAATTATCGCTGAGCTGCTGCTGTTATTATAACAAGTGAATAAGAGCCGTCTTGAAACTACATGCTCATGAGAATCAAGGAAGCTAGAAATGAAGGGTATCGATTAATAATGTATCAAGCAGCAGCCTATAGATGAGAATACAATCAATGCTGCATGCATGATCTATACTCTGCTGTTCCATCCGTGCACATATACTTGATCTAAATGCAAGTATATGACTTTTGCTGTGCATGGTTGAAGGCACCTTTTATAGTGATAAGTCTATTTCTGTTTAATACTCACTATTTGTGAAATATAGTTGACATGCATTATTTTTGTGAAAATGCAGCCTTAGCTCTCCATCTCCAGCTCAGTGAGATTAATGGAGGATAAATTGACAATTCTTGTCGAGTAGAATACATTTTCCCACATTTCAAACAAACCTAACATGATGCAATCTGCAGCAGTCTGTCACAGCAAATTAAATTGGTTATTTAGAAATATGTTGCATTTATTGTTATGGTGAATATATAAGAGTGAGCTGCAACAGATGGATGCCGAGAGAGCAAGGGGAGAAAGCAAGTCACTTAGCAATACAAACTACCTACATGTATAACAATGTACTATTCGGATACGTTGTGTAGCATACTAAATCTAATCAATTAAAAAAAAGAAATTCCATAGGGGCATCATATGATATGGTGCCGCCAAGCCAAGAAGCCTGTGGTGTGTCCTAAGCTCTCTTAGCTTTATCAGTGGTATTTGTGTGTGTGTGCTAACTCCATCTGTCTGTCAGTAGCTGGTGTGTGATCCTCACTTTAATGTTGCAGCAGTAAACCTTTGTGCCAGCCAGACACACTTATCTGTCAATAGTAAGCCAGAGCATGAGCCACACTTAGCCAACACTTGTCTCTGGTCTCACCCAGTAATCCGACTTGCTAGTGTCTCTTTCCTCTGCATTACGATGTGTGTGTGTGTGGGTGTGTGTCTGTAAGTCTCCTTATCTAACCATGAAAATCCATGCCTGAAAAATATTCATGTCTGTGAACATGTGTTTCTGTGTATATACCGTGTTCTTGCCACCAGTTTCCACAGCTGTGCTCTCCTCTCGGCTCACGCTCTGGATGCTCAGCATTCACAGGTGGCTTTAACCTACACCACACAAAGCGTAAAATCCACCTATCCCTTGTTTTTTTTTGGCCTCGCTTATCTCCTTTGTCTTATTGGGTCTGTCAGATCATTCAGCACTGTATCCAAACAGATTTTCTCTCACCCTTTTTCACAATGTTGTTTGTAACCTTCTACCCACCCGGAGCTCAGCATTACATTAGCCAGTCACTCTAGCGACATACTTTATTCATTAGGAAAGCCAGAGCCCAAGAACATTGTTCAAGCTAATGGAAGAAACTGATTAGCCTAATCGAAGTAACGAGGAAGTATATACAACATCAATAAAGTTGTTTAATCAACTCCAGATCAATGCCGTTGTAACACATTGAACACTCAACCGTTATTGTCCTGTTTGCTGCATGGCCGGATAACATTGACTGATGCATTTGACAGCTTTGAAAGCTGTAAATACAAAGCCTCCAATATATCTGTCAATCTCATCTGATGTAAAACACTCTCATGTGTGTTACATCCTCAAATTTGTCCAGGAGCATTTTGCTCAGTGTCTAATACTTTATTTGTGAATTATCCATATTTTGATCAAAACATGAAGTGTGACTGACTTGATGTGTGGCTGCATGCTCTTCGAATGCTATTCTCTTCTCTGCTGGCAGCCTCTCATGTGAGAACATGTGATCTTTGTTGGACTAAAAGAGATGGAGCTCACGTGGCCAGCATCAGGTTTTGGAGAGCAGCAGCCCAGGCAGTGGGATCACTGCCTGCCAGCTAAGGGTTAAATATTTCTCCACCACTACCCCCTTGTTTTTCACAAGTGGTAGCACTGATGTCTCTCTAGTCCCATGGCCATTTACTTTCCGTGCGTGTTGAGTGAAAAAAAAAGGGCGAGGGGGGGTCACATAAAGAGAGGAGAGCAAGAAGAGACGAAGAGGAAAAGTTTCTTTGCATTATACTCTATGCGTGATCTTCATGGAGGAGTGTGTCAATGAATTCCTTGTCTGCACCTAAGGGGAAGTATTTCTCGGCTGGAATTTGAGGGATGAAGCCGGAGGTTCTCTGTTTTGACCCTTGTGCTTTGCCCCCCCCCCACCCCCCTACTGCCCTCCCCTAGCACCCCTCCCACCAGATTCCAGGGCCTGGGGCAGAGACTGGTAGTGCTTAGTCCATCAGCAGCTGAAACATGATACCAAGAGAGCCCGCTAAGCTCCTCTTTTATAGTACCAAGTCAGGTCAGGCTGTTTACATCCTTTATTTATTGTTCTCCCGCTCCCCCCTTTTTTACCCTCAGAAACTGCAAATACTAAAAAATCCGGTCCTCTCTCACGTCACTATGAAGTGGGAAGCATCACTACAAATAAGTTTAGTCACATATTTTGTGTTGAGTAGTAAAAAAGAACAAAGCTACCACGATGATAAAGTTGTTGCCATTCTTGTTTGTTTGAGTGTGAGGGTTGATGTAAAAATGAATGTTTAAGCCACAAGTCTTGCAGTCCTTCGTGACCCTGGCTAGTGAGTAGGTATGCTATGGAAGTTAGGGATGGAAAATGATTGAATGGATGAGTAAATACAGCTTCAGTGTTGTGGTTCACGGTCGGTATCCCTAAATATTTACTCAGTGTTCACTAACTATCTGTTTCTCAAACATTAATGGAGTTTTACCATTACAACTGAGAAAACCTATTCAATGAAAAAGACGTTGTTTGGCCGCTCTTGTATACAAGGTCAAGAATGAACCTTCACGCTCAACTACATAGTTATCATATGTGTGTGTGTCTCTCTTCAGGTGTGATGTGCGAAGCGGAGCTCTCCTTCACACTGGAGCCCAGTGACATCATTGCTGTACAGGAGCAGCCGCTCATGCTCCACTGCCAGGTGGACGGCATCCCCCCAATTACGACACAGTGGAGGCACAACGGTCTGCTTTTAACTCAGGATCAGCATCACGCCACCTTCATCAATGGCTCACTCCTGATCGCTCACTTCCAGAAGACCAAATCCCATGGCTCATCTGACGACGGCGACTACGAGTGTATGGCCCAGAATTCTTTTGGGCTGGTGGTGAGCCGCAAGGCTCGTATTCAGGCAGCCAGTAAGTGTCTTCCTTTGTCTTTTAGTGATGTAGGATGTATGACAGTTGTAAGGACTGTATGTGCTTGAGGGGGGGATGTATTTCAAGTTCTTGATGTTTAGTTTGATTGCCTACATTCAGACATGACAGTGGCATCCATCTTTCATCCAACTCTCCTTAAAGGAAAAATCACAAATGGGTTTTAATTTGAATGCGTTTTTGAACCTGTTTGTGTTAGTTGTTATCTTTAAATTCCAATTTAACTTCATCTTGAATTATATTATTATCTTAAGATACCAACTCAATGGTTTGTCTGGGCTTAATTATGTTGTCAGGATCTGCAACCACTTACATACGTTTGATGAAGTTGTGATCTGTGTTCCCTACAAATGTAAACAATGTAATTCAAACATTGCATAATCACATTTCCGTCCAGTGCCAGTCATTAAGGTATTGCTGTGCTGTAAATTTACTTAATTTGTCTGGGTGTGGAGTCATTTGAATATTTGATTATCATTCTTTGAGTTTAATGAACTTTCCGATGCTCATCTACAGTGCTGCTTAGAAATTCAAGCTTTTGAATTTAGCATTAACTAGCGTTCATGCTGAGAGTCTCCAAGCTGCTTTGTAAGAGTGCAATAACCTTGAAGCAACTCAGCAGCCCACTCACTGGTGGAGGATAAATCTTCTCTGGCTTGACCACTAAATCTCTTACTTGAAATCACTCTAGTTCAACATTAAGATCTCAGCATTGTTGCCATGGTTAATTTACATTTGCATCATATCGTAGTCAATCTGACTGTCTGTACGCCTCTCTTCTCTTTGCTTTCACACATATACAGTGCATGTCTCAACTTACTTTAAATCAAAGGCATCAAGGATGTGCACATTCCTCTGGGGACACGCTGAGATGTTGCAGCAGCAGCTTTAGTGATACTGTAATGTTAGACACTGTGTTGAGTTCAGACTTTTTTCGAAGGCTCTGTTATATATACTCTGTAAAACAGAGATGGACAAAGGCTCGCAGAAGCCTGTTGATTCCCGGGCTGTGTGTAGACAGCACACTGCTGTGCTGTTGTGGCCAATACAGCTTTTCCACTCAGCAGGATAGGGAGGTTAGCATGCATGTCTCACTGGCCAAAGAGAAAAGTCACTTCAGCTCAGTGGCTGGCGCTGTCAAACACATCATGCAACCTTTTAAGGCCTCCCCTTCCTTTTCAAAGGTCAGATTTTAGCAGCTTTTTAAATGCATTTTTTTTTTTTTATTGTGCTTCAGGAAAAAGTCTTCAGTATTGTCCCCCTAATTTTAATTTCACAGAATTGCTTTGACATATTGGTAAGAAAGCATGAGGAAGATGAAAATCCATAGATTTATGAACACAGAGTTCATCACCTGAACAGGGTGCAGAGAAAACAATCGACTTATCCTTTTGATTTGTACTGCAGCAATGTACAGTGTATTATTTATGACTTCAATACCTGATAGCACATGTTATTCACTTTTATTGGTATTTCCTTGAAATGTTCGATGAAAACGTTTTAACCAGAGGGAGAATCAGTTTGATTGACTCAAGTTCTTGTAAACAGTTTAAGTAGTATACACTAGCCTCAAAGTTAGCTTATTAAAGCGTCTCTTCCATACTTTAAGGAAACAGGGCGGCATATTTCTGGGAGAATACTGTGATTCGAGCATGTCGTGCTCTGCATTTTGAAAACGTATTCATTGACTGCATTGCTTAAAGTGTAGATTTGTAAAGTACAGAGTTGGGATGCCGTGGAGTCATCCAGCACTCCAGTGCTCTCTTCACTTAGCCAAGAATTATGCAAGCCTAGAGCAATCCTGCATCACTCATCTGTTTCTGAAAGGCTGTGATGTGAATACAGATTTAATCTTGGTGAATGAACCTGACCTGGAGCACACCTTGGACTTGGTGGTTCAAGTTTAAAATCATTCATGGTGGAAACATTCTGTTTTGTCAGTGCTTTGCTCTTCTGCAGATCCTTTTCTGCTTTTCCTGTTGTCTTGTATTGATTGGGAAGGCACTGAAGCATTACTGAAAGTCACATTCTGACCACTGACCTTTTGGGTTGTATTGAGCAGTCTTTGAGGGGGAGGCATTGAATGAGTAGAGGCTCTGCTGTAATGATAGTCTTTCCCCCCTTAATGGAGTCTCACTTCTATCAAGGAAGCAAGAAGCCGTCACTGTGAAAATAATCCTCCAGGGACCCTTCAAAGGGACTCGCAAGATACAAACTTCTGTTACCCATCATTACTCACTAATACCTTTTGTATTTTGGAAGATTTTCCAGAAAACAATAATGTTGTTTTTTGACCATGTCTTTTTGTTGTCATTGCCTTGCATTGTATGAAAGATGGCCCACTTCTTTTTTAAGTCATATTGATGAGGCTTTCTTTGCACCATTAGTTGTGGTCGTTGACTGCCAGTCTAACCTCGTGATCTTGTATTTTCCCTGTTGTGTCACAGTAAAGTAACATATTTCCACCATTCATTAGTCATAACAGATGTCCTACCTGCAGTCTTTGAAAGGCTTTATAGATGATTTTTGTAATGTACATTCAGAAAAAAAATGGTAATCGTCCTTCATTACCCAGCTTGTTTCACACCTCAGCCTCTAGGTTCCTGCAGGCGATGGTTCAGTACAGAAGTGTTCCCCAAGCCTGATCAAGCCTCAATTTGTCAGACTATTATGTTTTTGGTCTTCAATATAAGGTCTGAAAGGAGCTTAATCTTTGATGTGAAGTGTATTCTACAGGGATTTTGGCAATCGCCGGTCTGTGTCATTTTGTTTATGAAGAGAAATGGCCCAAAACTAGTTAATGCTCTCCTTACAAAGATCACTGACTAGTGTTTGTTTCTTTTTCTGTTCCAAGTGTTTGTTAATGTTGATGCTTTCTTTGTGTTTTTGAGGTAATTTGCTGTGTTATAGTCCCTCTTACAACAGCTCTCACTTGTACCACTGTGATGCAATGGGTGGTGTGATTACTGAAGACTCTTTATAGCCCTCCCAGTGGATAAAGCTTCCATCCTACCCTCCACACTACCTCCCTCCATAAATTTCACTTTTTATTTGCTTGACAACCATTTGTGCGAGCTCACTGTCGGGGGCTGGTATAGGACGGACTCCCCGTTGCCCCTCTAAATCGGTGGTCGGTCCAGGAAACTCTTTTTTCCTCCTAAATGTTATCTCTTTGATGGTCGGTTTCTCTCTCTCTCTCTCTCTCTCTCTCTCTCTCTCTCTCTCTCTCTCTCTCT